CTTTTGACACAGGATTTGTCCCTCATTCTGTCCAAGTGTAAAAGACTAATAAATGAGTTACCATACACTCAATATAAACCCATCTCAGAAAGCAGCAAGCTGCAACAGTACCAGATGGGAAACACACTGCAACTTTTTTTTATTATTATTTATTTTATTTTTTTCTTCGATGCTACAAAATTGACATGTTTCACTCCCGGTTCTGGTACCCAGTGCCAGAAACACTGGCCTCTGCTAATATTGCCTGCAAGATCCTCCTGAATGATGACTGTCACACCTCCCACGAGTTCTACAGTGCTTATCAAAACCACAGAAGGCAGCACTGCCCGAAATTTGAAAACCTCAGCCCTGATATTTGCAAGTGAAATCAATCACAAATGTTTCACTAAGTGATTTTACTTTGGGAAACAAAAAAAGGCCCTAGTGATTATGTGAATGCTTGGCTAGTACATGAAATGTAAGGAGGCTAGTAATACTAAATAGTCACCAATTAATTTTAATAGCACATTTGATACCACTTGGAACAAAATGTTTTTCAAGTTAACCATTATTAAAACTGTAAAGTGAACCATTTCTCCTTAGACTGGTCTAATCATGCTCGATTTCTTGATTCAGTGTTGCAGGGTTGAAACATCCCTCTTGCCTCCTCGACTGGAAGAGCAGAGATGCAGAAGCATTTCCAGAAATTATCTCTGACTCTATCAAATCAAAGTCTTCACCAGACTGTGGGCTTCTACAGGCCTCAAAAGCAGTTACTATTTAAAATGCTGTTGGTATCTAAGTGAACATCTAACACAAATGATTGATTTCAACCTCTTTACAGACGACAGGATATCCTGAAAGTCAGATAAAAGCATTGTGATGACGAACCAAAAAAGGTAAAGAAACAGGTTTGGGGGAAAATAGTGTTTGGTTATGCACGTGAATACACTGCACTCTGGGAAACATAAAAATAGCTTCACTGAGTTTCTACTGTTATAGCTCCTATACGTACAGGTGACCATACATAGCAGAAGGCAACACAAACCTCCCAAGTTTTGTTTCTTCCCCTCCCATCCCCAAATCGCATCTAAATTTCCTGAGTTTATTTAGAATTAATGCAGATTTACAGTGATGAAAATGATTTCGATTACATAAGCATTTTTCTTTAAAAATTGTGTGTCTTGGAAAGCCACAAATGCCACGGTCAGCAACAAAAGAGTAAGTAGCACCATGTGCTAACCAGGCTACATACCCCAACTCCTGGAAGGGTCAATTTGGTTCATTCAAAGCACTTACAAACACGAGGATATAATTTGTGTGCGAAAAAGGCAAGATGTACTGGTCAAAACTTTATGATTACCCACACGCTTCAGAGTCTTCTCACCTCTATTCAAAGAAAAGTTTCCATGTTCTTGGGTAAAGAATCCATACACCTAACTTAAGAGACTTTATTATTAAAAAACACTCTATAAGCGAAGACAGAACCAAAAATGATGTGCTTGTATTTAATGCCAACTAGAACAGGAAAGAGAGAAACAAAGTTTAAGTTTAATTTAAACAAACTATTAATATTAAGCTTATAAAAACAAATGAGTCAGTGTCATTTTAAATAGTTTTTAAAGAAAAACAATTACAGGTACTTGTCTGTATTTAAATGAAACTTGAAAAGTTCACTATTCCAGAGCCAGTCTGCGAAGGCACCAGCAGACTACCTGGCGAAGAAGTATGAGCAATAACCGTGCCACACCCTGAGAACCTCCGTCGTGAAACAACCGATAGCCACAGCTTCCACCGAGCTTCAGCTGCATTTAGTCAAAGGTCATTACAAACCTCCCAACCCATACACAACTCTAAACAGCTCTCCAGATTTAATTCTGATTTTCCCCTTGAAGTAGAAAGCAGCCCGAGCTGTTTATCCTACTCGGTACAACACAGATTACTTGAAATTCCACTTGGGATTTGGAGCTGTGGGCCCAACACGTGTAGAAAGGGAATGCCAATAATCACTCTGACAATATAAAAAAAGCCAACAAAAAAACACTCCATGAATTTATATGAAATGAGAAAGAAAGGACACAAGATTGGTTTGGAAGTCACACATTCTTTTATAGCAAAACAAATGCCCTATTAAAAATCTACTACTTAGCAATTATTAGCTGACACACTTGACCTGTTTTATATGTACATAGGTCCCAAAGAAAATAAACATATTAAGTGAGTTATTGGTGTGGAGGCCATGAAAGTATAAACTCAGATAATATTTAAGTTTATACTTTCAGTATAAGTACACAGTTTCAGATTAAGTTTTCACCAAAAGCAGAAAGGAGTTTCTGGGGGGAAAAAATATAGAACTCCCATAGAAATGCAATAAAGTTACATTTGCATTTACAGCACATGGAAGTGCTGCAGGCGGACACTCCTGTGTCTGTGCACAGATTTGTTTCCACAGAATCAGGCTAAAGACCTTCCAAGACTCTGACATCTGGAAACCGGTGGCAATCATACCCACAAGACTTCCACGACTCACTTTTAACAAAAATAACAAAGGATGCACTCTCTGAAGACTTCTTAAATGTGAAAAGGGGTGAGAAACAGATCAAATAACTCAATGTTAACACAGTAACAAAGGAAACGAAAGTCACAAAAGCCCAGACAGGAAGCTCACAATGCGAATAGCTCTGGGGGGCCAAAGCCACCCTCTGAGGAACCCCCCTCCTCAGCCTCCCCTGCCCCCAGCGCTGAC